GCTGGCTTTAAGCTGGCCTCTGACACTAATCCCTTATGGACCTTCTTTTTATTCAGGAGGATTTCTTTTTGTTTGGGTAAAGGACATTTTCTCACGTCTTAGTACAGCTTAACTGTGCAACATTTCTTGTATAAGCCTCAGACCCACAAGCTTAGAGACCAAAATTCAGAGTTTCATTTTAATGGAAAGAGGCCGAATAATTAATCAAAAGTCCAGAAAAAACACATTATATAATAGTTTATTGAGTGAAATATGTATTTAATCCCCAAGAAAAACATGACTCAGTATGTGGGGTATTTTATAAGTACATGAACTTTGACCTATTGTCAATGTGGAGAAGCCTTCCCTATATTTGCTGCTCAGCTTCAGTGAACATCACCTTTTTTCCCCCAGTTTATTTTTTTCACCATTGCACAACATTTTTATTCTTTTATTTCGATGTCAAAACGTTTTTGAAGCATGTCTAAATATACTGGTTATAAAATTAAACTTTGAAAATGCATCAAATCTCAATTTAGAAAACAAATCAGGTTGGTTATCTACACAGCACTCTGTCAGGAACAACAGTCTATCACCGAGGTTCATGTGTGTTATTTTGAAAATGAGTTAGAGCTGTGTTACACACCTGCTTCCACAAGGTGGAGTTGTTACACCTAATTAACTTTCTCCAGATAATTCACACTTGAAAACAAATAAATAAAAATCAGTTTTTCTACATCGTAAGTCACATATTATCAGCTTTACCTGGCAGCGTCAGATAGATAATGTCCCAGAGGTGTTCTATTGACTTAGGTCAGGTGTGTGTGGGGCCCAGTCAATGGTATCGGTTCTTTCATCCACCAGGAGCTGCCTACATACTCTTGCAACAAGTGGTTGGCCATTGTTGTGCTCCAGGAAGAACCCAGAGCCCACTGCATTAGTGTACTTATTAACTTACAACTGTGTAGGATCCTTGTATTGCCTCATGCTACCAGTAGTGACAGCGACCCTAGCCAAAAGCTAAACTAGTGTAAAAACAGTCAGAAAAGATGCAGAGGGAGAAATGTCCTCCACCCTTAACACCAATCCTGTTTTGGGGCTGTCTCATTGTGTTCCCTCTACTGCACCTGCATTTAATTTCATTAACACCAAAGCGGCTGAACCTGATTAAAAATTCCCCAAACTGACCAGAAGTTTAACTGACTTGTTTTTATACTCTACTCATTATAGTTTATCATCATTTTATTGTAGGAAATAACATAAGTTGATCACAATTATGTAACCGTATGCAAAAAAAAACCCAAATTGGAATGAAATGTGATGTGATTTAGGATGTAGGAAAAAAACTTTCCTCATTTACTTTGAAGTGTGAATCATGTGGAGAAAGTTATTCAGGTGTAACAACTCCACCGTGTGGAAGCAGGTGTGGAACACAGCTCTAAGCAGAATTCAAATTAACACTTCTTCATACACGAGACATGAAAAGGTCAGTTATTCAATTAGCTGTTCAAAATATTTTGGCAATTATTCATAGTCTTTAAAACTGGTCATTTACAGGGAATGTTTGCTTAGTTTTGTTATTTATTGATTATTGTTTTGTTAATAGCTTAAACTAAATATTCTTTGTTTTTTTGATACAATTGTTTTCTTGACTTTCTTTTTTTTTTAAATCAGAAGCAAACCTGATTGAGAGAGCCGTGTGTGATTCTTAATAATCCTGTAATTTAGTTCTCCCAAACCTAGTATGGGAAGACGAAACAGGAAGTTAATGATTCCTAGTGTGTGTGTTGACAGAAGGTGTGGGACGCGGGGCAGGATGAACACAAACAAATAAAGTCAAAACTTGGGATTGTTGTTTGTTACATTCGTGAGAAAATTTGGTTGGTTCCAGTTTAGAAATAGCCACAAACACCTCCCACATACGACGATGACTCAGTGATGGTGAGTTTTTAGCGAGTTTATTCCTTTCAGAAAATGTTGGATGAGTAAGACTACCTGTGAGAATAAATGTTTCAGTTTCCTATAAATGTATTCTATCCTGACGCTGAAGCTTTACGCTCATGGATGCAAAAATCCCATTTCCAACTTATTATTTACCTTTAAAGTTCAGGGGTAATGCTGCTGTGCAGATTAATAATTTACCTCCACCCACACTGATAAAGTGGTCTGTTGGAGTATTGCACACATTCAGAGACAATCCTGGGAGTTTCCAGGCATTTTGATCAGGATTACTACAAAGTGTTGACTTAGACTGCAGCTATGTTAAAAGAAGTCTTCTCTCTTCTTCTGTCTTTGTACACTTTGCTGTATCAGACCATCGTTCCCTGCTTGGAGCCTGAGATGCTGTCTGTGA